CCCCCTTTCCACCAGGAAATCCTGTTTCCAATCAAACAACACAGGCGAAATTCAAGATCCGACTCCTAGTCGGAAAACGAACTCCTTGTCCCCAATCAAACAATACTCGACCCTATATGTAAATATATTAATAATTATAAAAAAAAAATCCACGGAACTAGGATCGGATTCATCGGAAGAACCCTTATCCCAAGAATACAAGTGGATTTCAGCCAAAGCGTTTCCGGACTGTGGAACCAATACAGGCATTGTAAAGGGAGTGATCATCCTAAACGTGGCTGCTTCAAGTGTGGTGCTACTGATCACATTGCCCGGCATTGTCGACAAGGCGCCAACAACAAGCAGCTAGGACCAGAATATATCCTGAAAAATGATCAGACCCAACAATGTGGTGATGGTCGCAAGAGGTCTCTAGTCAAAAGTAGAGCTGATGAGAAATCAGAAGACCGAGAATACATAGATCATAACAGAAGTTCAAGAAGCAATCACCGATATTCTCAAAAAAAGAAGCAATCACCGAGATCGTAAGAGGAGATCCGAAACCGATAAGTATAGGATAGGATTACCACAAAAGAAAAGGCAGAGATCCACCGAGATCACAAAAGGAGATTCGAGATCGATAGGTATAGAAGAGAATTACCATAAAAGAAAAGCAGAAATCGAGATTATGACGCACAGAGAGAAAATAAGCATAGAGATGAGCATAGGGCTATTTCCCTTTCAATAAAATTTTTAACGCTTTTGCGTCTTTTGCCAAATCTTGGCCTTATTGCTTTGCAGCCGTTTAATGTTTTATTTTTTTTTATTTTATTTTTAATTATTTGCGTTCATCTGCCAGATATTTTGGCCTTGTCGTTTTGCGGCCTCTTAACGCGTTTCGCGTTCTCGTTAACTCTTCGGTTCTATTTTAAACCTTTGGGTTTCATTTCTAACCTTCGGGTTCTATTTTAAACCTTCGGGTTTCATTCTTAACCTTCGGGTTCTATTTTAAACCTTCGGGTTTCATTCTAACCTTCGGGTTCTATTTTAAACCTTCTCGGGTTTTCATTTCTAACCTTCGGCTTCTATTTTAACGGCATCTGTCGTTTCAAAGACCGTCTCTCGGTCTCAAATTAACGCGCATCCGTCGTTTTCAAGCGTCTCTCGGCCTCAAACGAACGACATTAGTAACAGCATCTCGACATCTTAACGTCTCAAGATTGCTGTTATGGCTCCTTCAGAGAAGATTCCAAACACACCTTTGCCCTCAATGAATCAAAGTGACTGGCAGGGTGGTCCCACCATTGTCACCAATGCCTTGCGTGGCGTTGGTTTGCTTGATCATCTCACCAGTACGGGACCAGTTCACACCGCCAAGCACATGTTGCTTCATCCCAGTACTATGCTCTGGCAGTGGTGATGTCGATCTCAAGACTGCTCGTGCTCTCTATGTCAAGGAGAGTTCAGAGTGGCAATTGGCAGGAATTTCGTGTTATGGATTATCTCACTCGCTGTGTGGCTCTGTCTCAACTGTCGAGATTGGCTCGCTTCCCTCTGCTCAGGCCATGGCGGACTCGTCTCACTGAGCGTTTCACTGAGTGCTCGGGTGCACGGGAGGCATATCTTCTGCAACGCCATTTCTCTACAACGCAAAGGTAGTTCATCTCTCGCAGTCCATTTTGGACAAATGCAAGCTTTTTGGACAGAGTTACGCTCCATGCTTCCTGGACGTAATTCCACATATGAAGACTGGCTAGCCTGGTACGAACGGCATGAGGTGCATCAATTGTTCAGTCCCTTCCTGAATATTCAACTATGGCTGATCAACTACTTCACCAGCCTCAATTTCCGACTTTGGCCTCAGTTATGGGAGCTCTCACTGCTTATGAGACCCGGCAAGCAAGACAGCACGACTCAATTTGTCAACAGACACTCCTACCTCTTCACTCGAACTGTTTTGTCTGTACCTGTCACTGCTCCTGTTATGATTATACTTCTCCACAGGCTCCCCTCTCCACAGGCTCGATCTAAGCTCTCTTGCAAATATTGTAAGAAGGAAGGACACCGCATTGAGACATGCTTCAAGCTTCATCCTGAGTTACGTTCTCAGGTACTGGACGTGGTCGGCGACCCCCCTCCAGTCTCAACCCTCTCGTACACCAGGATTGTTGGCCAATGCTATAACCTTCTACTACTTCCAGACTCTACTATTCAAGCTATTGAAAGTCCTTCGCCGTCAATTGATGCTTTTCAACATAATCACCTCTACATCCGCCCGCACAACTCTCTGGTATACATTTTGCTGGTTCTTCAGCTAATCCTTCAGTCTCTGGTATGAATGATCTCTGGATTTTGACTCTGTTTGTCCTTTCATATGACTTGTAATGCCTCACTTTTTATCCTCGTCTTTACTTCATCCTCTCTTCCTCCTATTCTACACAGCTGCTGGAGCAACCATTGTCCATTACTCAGTATGGCTGCTATTACCCCACAAAATGATCCATCTGGTCGTCTAACACGTGGTCCGTCTATGTGGCTCCACAATTGTGCTTGAATTTAATTTCTATTAGCTTCTTTATGCATGCGGGCCTGTTTGTCTCATTTTCTTCTGATACTGTGTATTGTGCAGGATCCACAGACGGGCAAGACGGTTGGGGCGGGTCGTAGGGGCACAAACTGTATTTTCTGGAATATCTTCACCTTCCAGAGTCCATACGTCCACGTTCTCTTGTGCTTCTCTTTGTTCGTCAAAACCCTCTACCTCGCTTCCTGCCAATTTATGGCATAAGACGACTTTGGTCATGTGTGTAAAAAAGGCTGGAGAGTCTTATATCAGAATCATGGAATGTAACATTGAAGTACTGGTATAATAAAAAACTAGTTCAGTATACATAAGAGTCATGTGCGGTCTGTGCAAAAATAGGCATAAAAATTCATCGTGCTAGATTAAACATATTAAAATGAGTAGATACTGATAATCCACTTATACCATTATATTGAAATTTAGAAGCATTCTGATAATTTTGGCGTGGCAGCTCCTTTGCCTTCTTCTCGGCTACTATATTATGTTATTTTTACGCATTCTTTCTCTCCGTTTCTACTGGGTTTACCTACTTTAACAATCGCTCTGACGTACTTTACTGCTTATCAAGCCTCACGTGCTATGATTTTCACCAATGGCAATCCTGTATTAAAGTTTTTCCGTTCTGATTGTGCAAAGAGTAAGCCATCCTCTGCCAGCGCTCTAACATGTCCTTCAGGACTACTTCTCAACAGCATCGTCCCTACACTCATGAGCCAAGAATGGGTTGCTCGAAGCGGCAAACATTGCGTCCATATCTCGATACTCGGCCCGACCAATGCTCATTTTCATACTCGTTCGTCGTCGTTTCTTGGGCTGAGGCATTCTCACCTGCTGCCCATCCATACTATCACTGCCATCTACGCTCTCTTTCCGGTGGCTACTCCTTATAGTCGTGTTTATAGCTCCATCCTCCCCGTTATGATCTATTCGCAGTTTTTGTGTCGATGTTGTTTTTTTTTCTGCCCATCTCACGAACGTGATAAATTGTCTCCCAGAGAGTTTCTTGTGTTTTATTTAGGAATTAGTTTCAGAACAGTCGAGGTTATCGTTGTTATGACCCGCAAACAGTCTGTCGAGTTCATAATATCTCGTCATTGTTCAGTGTCGATAAGATTCTCCATATTATTCTATTCTGATGACTTAATTTCCTCCACTCAACAACGGATCATCGCTTCCCCGTCCCTAGCATCACCCCACTGTCTTCACCTCAATTTCCTTTCGAGATTCCCTGACACTCTCCCCTCAATCCTTCTTTTGACTTTCCTCACCTGAGTCTTCTCTTACACTACCATAGGGCCATTCCCTTTTCATAAAATTAACCTTGCTCTTTTTTGCAATCGCCTTATTCTTTGCAGCTTAAAGTTTATTTTTATTTATTTTAATATTGCGCATACTCCAGTATATTTTGGCCTGTCGTTTGCGGCCCTTAACGCGTTCCGGGCTTCTCGTACCCCTGTCTAAAACCTCGAGCATTTCAACCTTCGGGGTATTTAAACCTCGTGTTCTTTCAACCTCGGTTCATTAACCCTTTCCGTTCATTCAACCCTTGTCGGGTCTATTTAAAACTTCGGGTCTCTAACCTTCGTTCAATTATGTATTAACGCATTGCTCAAACGACCTCGGCCAAATAACACCGTCGCCAAGGGGCCCGCCTCCCCTCAACAACACATAAACCATCCGACATCTTAAATACCTCAAGATCGTTATGGCTCCTCAGTAGAAATCCCAACACCTTTCCCCTCAATGATCAAAGTGACTGGGCAGTGGTGTCTGCCACCCATTGTCCCAATGCCTTGCGTGGCGTTGTTTGCCTTGATCAATCCTGCACAGTACGACCAAGTTCCACCGTCCATCAGCAACTGTTGGCTTCCATCCCAGTAGCAATTCCTCCTGGCCAGGGTTCCATAAAAGAAAAGCAGAAATCGAGATTATGACGCACAGAGAGAAAATAAGCATAGAGATGAGCATAGGAGGTGAATACTGAATAGAATGCATATTCTCTTTATTCGGTACAATGTTCGTGCTGTAATAGATGTTTGCTAAAAGAGGACAATTTTGCAGCAGAGCAAGTGTGCGCAACTGATGATGGCTTAGACCGTTAATGTGATAATTCTTTGACAACTGATGTTGTGCATTTACTATTAAACTCTGATCGATCTATCACTGAAACTTTGCCTTTCAAGAAAAAGGATAGACATAAAAGCCATTGCAAAGTGCACCCAAAAAAAAAGTCAGTTTATGCAACAATCACAGAGTAAAAGCATACTTCGATGATGGGTGATCAGTAATCAAGTTACAACTCGTAGCATTTTGCCAGAAACATTGTTTCATATGCTATAAGGTCTTGCAGAATGAACCTTCAGAAAAGAGGAAAGTTCCAACTTACCCCTAAGCCCCTGGTTTCATTCCAAATTTTCATGGCAGAAATATATGATCATTATACAGAAGAGCCCAGCCCGAGAAGTCTCATTATTGCAATAAGATTCACAAAATTCATTAAACCCTCGATAAGTTTGTGCCTTTATTGCAATTAACCCAAAAAGTTCGAATCTCCTTTTAAACTCCAACAAGTTTAGGAATTTCAAAAACCCCAAAAATATTTTTATTTTTTCACTTAACCCCATTATAGCATTAGCCCCTATTTTGAGTTCGCAAGAAGAATATCACATAACCATCATAAATTAGTCATTAAGTGAAAAAAAATCAAAATGTTTTGGGGGTTTTCTAAAATCCCGAACTTATTGAGCGTTTAGTGACAGTTTCAAACTTTTGGGGGGTTAAGTGCCAAAGGCCCAAACTTATTGGGGGTTTAGTTAAATTTATTTATATTGAACATTCATATCATTAACGCGAACAACAGAGTAGTTTTTCTTCTTTTTAATAGAAACATTTATATGCTCCACAAGGCAATGAAGCTGAACATAATCAGTTAACAATTTACCTGGGCTCTAAAGAATATTCTCAGGCACCACGGGCTTCGACAAACACGGAGGTGGTCCTCTGAGGAATTGTGAAGCATCCGGATGAGGCTTCGTAAGATGATTCTTTCACTAGTTTGTCTGAAGATGCCACCTATGAAATTCTCATACAGTTAACTAATTGTTCAAATACTCTTTTGACACTGATACCAACAAATTATACAACAAATACCTGTACAGGATGCAACTGAAGCACTCTTCCCCTTAATGAGGGAAGTGATACCGAGGTTTTGGTAGGGCAAGCATTGAAGACAATAACTATGAAGGAATAGCTGCAACTCAAACAAGAAAGAACAGCGGCATCATAAAAAAGCATGCAAAACAGGTACAATTCTTGTAAAACTATACAAGAGTCGAGAATTAATATAACCCACTTCGGATCCAGCTGAATCATGCCAGGTTCTCCCTCATAGCCATCTTCAATACTCATTACAATAGCACCAAGGCATGAGGAAGGTCCTGTGTTGTGAAAACACACCCTTTCCTAACAAAATAAACAGATAGATTTTCATCTGGCAAATTAATATGTTCAAGGAGAAGAACGCAATTTCTTTTAGCAGATCAACCATATTTCTCCGAAATAGAGACTCGTTTTCAATCAAATTAGAGCATTCCTCCATGGTGCAATGAGCATGAAATATACACCACTTTCCACCAAACAACTAACCTATAGGCTCTGGGGGTAAACTTTGATGCCCAATAGTTCTCTTAGCAAAAAACATGGCATAAAGTCAGAAGTTTGAGTACATGTTAACAATTATCTGTTGAACTTCGACAAAAAAACAATCCTTCTCAATATGGAATCACCCTCTATAGCAAGAAGTTGATGTTTACAGAGTATATACTATCGAATCCAACAAGGTTATACCTGAATTTCATTTGCGGTCCTCAAACGGAAAAGTGGTGAGGAGTACCGAATCTTTAGCAAGTCAATAAAATTCCCAAGTGCCGCAAGGATGTGATGTTTCTCAGGTTTGAAGGATGGGTTTGCCAAACGTGGTTTAATCCTGAAATGAATTTACAAATTCAGGTTCAGATTTGGATGCTATGAATGAAAGAAATGTGTTAGAAGCCTTTTAAATGAAGGTAATAATAACAAACGAGTGTTCGAAACAATGAGATATCTGAAGAAAACAAATAATTGAATACTATTAGAACTTAGACCAGAAAAGTTCATGCTTACAATGGCCAGTTCTTTTCATTCTTTTCTCTCGGAGGTAGGCCGACACCCCAATTGTTCATCTCATAACTGAAATCAAGCCTAAAACATATGGAACACATTCATCAGTCATTTCCAAATGATAAGTTTATAATGATTTAAAGATCACATCTACTGTTTTAAAGAAACAAGAGCAACTAATAAAGAAAAGTTCACACTGAAAGTCAGACAGGATGAGAAAATCTTCAGTTGACAATACGAAATTTAAATGTGAACTAAACAATGCCCTCTCAAAAGAATAACGAAGCCAACCTATTGAACCAATCGCCCGAGTTATAAGAGTCGCGGTCAAGTGACTTGGAACGCAGTATCTCATCACCAGAATGAAAAAATGGCACTCCCTTGAAACGAAAAGGTTAGACATTAGGAGGGTGGAGTGCCAAGGAAAAAATTGTACGACAGCGACCATGAGACTTTCCAAAGCAAAGCAACATTTATCATATCAAAATTGCTAACTAAATAAGTTGAATATAGTAACTAATTAATGAAGCGGATGGACTTATCCACCTTGTACTATAAAAAGAGAACCCATAAAAGAAAAAAGATTGCTAAGAAACTAAAAGAACCAATCTAAAGATGGGGTTTAGCATATAACTGTAGATACCCACATGTTTTTATAACAACATCTTCATATTGACTTTTATATGCTTTTCATACATGACCTCATTTTTCAAGTTATTTTTGAAAAAATATCCTTTCGTGTGATAGGAATAGAAGATCATGAGTTAATGGTGTCCTGTAAAGAATCAAAGCATTACTCACTTCGCTTTGGGAATACTCCAAAAGAAATATAGCCGTCTTACTTTCAAACCAAGCGAATAAGATAGGATATTTAAGCTAAATGAGTAAATCAGACAACTTTTAGTTATTTTATTTTATTTTATAATCCATGAACTTAAGTCAAATATGGATTAATTCATTAAGTTTCACCATTAATTAATTTTTTGTTAACTTTATGATGATAAAAGATTTATAGTTAAGAAAAACTCAAAAGCATGTAAATGCATAGTTGAATATGTATGTACAACACATGGGAGAATAGGCACCATAAAGGTGATTTTCTTCTGTAAAGTGAAAAGGTAGATATGGCAAAATTATGAAGATAACTTCCGATCCCCGGTGAGCAAACTTGCTCATATTCAATGAATCTCTATGCATCTGATGTCCATCAAAATAGACAAATGGCAGCAAAAGAATCTTAACCAAATTATACCATTATTGTCGACTGATTCATCTTTTCGGCACAAAAAAGAAACATAACATCTTCCTGAGAACTAATATACAACCATAGCAATAAAAGAATCTTATCTATGTGAACGGTCATATTGAGTTAGTTCATCTTCAAAACAAATGATAACATCCTAAAAGCCACATGTGTTTACTAGATCATAAACTTCTTGCAATGACCACATTTGATAGTTATTAAATTAAAAATAAAAGGTTGAAAGGTTGTAAGGAAATTAAATTAGTTCTCAGTTTGACAATCAAAAGCAGAAGTCGAACCTGTGACAGTGCAACAATGCTTGTGGCCAAATGATTTATTCGGCATCTATCATCTACTAAGATTTCTTCTGCAGTCTACATTAAAATAATAATATTAAAAATCACATAAATTCTCAACAAAACACAAGTAAATTATGTATAGAAAAACAAATCGAACCCTTATAATTTGTAAAGATAGTTATATAGGACTAAGATAAGCCATCCATGAAGTGTCTTGAAATTACATAAAGTTCAGAGAAAGTTAATATACGCTCTATGCGAAATTATTTAACTTTAAGCTATTTCCAATAATTAAAAAAATATAGGATGAAGTATTGAAATTCGTTAGAGTTTAGAAAGTAATCTTGATGGACGACTAGTAAACATTTCCATCCAATGTTGATACTTAACTAAAATCATTTGGGCAGCCTATTTCCAATAATTAAAATATATATAGGATGAAGTATGAGGGCCTTGAAAATGAAATCCGTTAAGTTTGGAAAGTAATCTTGATGAATGACTAGTAAACATTTACATCCAATGTTGGTACTTCACTAAAATCACTTGGGCAGCCAATAGCAGTTAGCTTGCAAGATATTTTTTGTAATTCAGAAACTATTAGAGTGATAAGAAAATGATTACGTGCACCAAAACATGAATAAAAGTTCAGATTGTACACATTTCTTTTTGTCTATATCTTACATGGCACATTTCCATCCAATGACTAAAATCATTTGGGCTGCCAATAGAAGTCAGCTTGCAAGGTATTGTTTGTAATTCAAAAACTATTAGCACGAAAAGGAAATAACTACATGCATCATAACATGAATGAAGTTCAGATTGTACTCATTCTTTTTCTCCATCTTTATGTGGAAACGTTTAATCATTACACTTTCTACTAACTGGATAAGCATTCTATACAGTAGCATGACATGGTTCTCAAAACTTTTGAAAGAACTCATCACATTTCAATCAAACTAACCCTCCCCTCTTGCTTTATATTATATGTAACTTTCTACACAAGTAAACCGATTATGCTTCTTTGGCGACCCAAACCTATTCTCATTGGTGAGCACCACTATCTTATCATATATCCAAAGGAGGTAATAGAAAAATATAAATCATTATTAATACGGTCAAAGTACCTCATAAGCTAGTGTAGGAATGGAGTGAGTACCTTCAAACTGATGATATCAAACAAAGTTTCGTTATCATGAGCTGACACATAATTTATCTGAAAGAGAAAAGCATCGTTATCCATATTATAGAATTTGTAGTGTTAATAACACAAGTCAAGCAATATCAAATTTCATGAGCAGGCAAAATTAACCAAACGAAAGGGGAAAAAACAGAAGATACTACAGACTATAACATCACCGTTGCGAAAAGGCACACAATCAACCATAAACAAGAAACCAAATGGAAAAAACAGTTGCTTGTACTAGATACAACTTATGAAGGGAACAACAACAACAACAGCCACAACCACCACCACCACCACCAAGCCTTTATCCCAAATGTTTGGGGTCGGCTACATGAATCTTATTTTTCCATTCCATTCTGTTATGGGTCAACTCCTCCATTAAATTAGTCTTAATCATATGCTTCTTAATTGCTTCTAACCAAGTCATTCTAGGTCTACCCTAGATCTCTTAACCCTATTACCTCTAATATTATCGTTTTTCCTAATCGGTGCACTAAGGGGTCTCCGTTGTACATGACCAAACCATCTTAATCTATTCTCTCTCATTTTATCCTCAATAGGCGCAACCTCTAATTTACTATGGATGTACTCATTTATTATCTTATCTTTTAATGTATGCCCACAAGACCATCGCAACATTCTCATTTCTGCTACACTCATTTTTTAAATATGTTATTTTTTAATTGCCCGACACTCTGACCTATAAAGCATAGTTGGTCTTATAACCGTCCTATAGAATTTTCACTTTAGTTTCATTAGTATTATACGATCACATAAGACTCCCGAATCACTCCTCCATTTCAACCATCTCCATTTCAACCATCCCGATTTGATTCGATGCACAACATCATTATCTATCTCACCATCATGCTTAGGGTCTTAACGGAGCGGATACGGTTCGGATATGACACTTACCATATCCATATCCGCTTTCTATAAACGGATACGGATATAGATACGGATTATTTTTGATAAGAAAAAACATTAACCATATTCACCCTTATCGAAAACGGGTACAGTTCGGATATCTGAGAATCAGATCGGATACGATCACGGATATGAAACAAATATTCGACAAATGGATGTGAATCAGATATGAATTAGTTCTAAACAACAATATCAAATGTGTTACCAAGCAACAAAGATGACAGAATGCAGTGAACCAAAGACTACATAAGAGACCAATAATCACAAGACGCAACGCAATGAATCAAGCAAATTATTAAGGACAAGTGTTGCAAGCTCTTTACAAAAATAGCAAAAAATATATTGATAATGTAAAGCTATGGCCTCCAGTAACATCAACATAGTTCTAAAATTTGAAATTTAAAGACAACCCAAATAAGCATTGTTGGCTTTCATAGCAAGTTCACAACTCATTATTTAATTTGAACTCAACAATCTAACAAATCCAGTGTAGCAAAAACAACATCTCCCGACGACGCGGCCAAGCCGAAGACGAGGCGGGTGGGGGCGAACTGGTCGCGATGACGCGAGCTGGCCGGGTGACGTCGACGAACTGGCCGCGACGATGCGGATGGGCGGTTTGCAACTTTGTTAGGAACTCGGGCGCTGTGACGGAACGACGCGCTCTTGCAGAACCCGGAGTCAGGACTGTCGGTTGTGGAAATTGAGTGGGAGGCTGGAGTTGAATCAGTGGAGGCTAGGGTTTTGTAACTTTGTTAGTTTTGTAGTTGGGTTTTGGGTTAGCGGTTACAGGTTTGCAACTTTAGATACAACCTGAATCCTTATGTTTATTAAATTGCAAGTATCCGTATCCACAACCCTGATATCTGTATCCAAAATCCGTATCCGAAAAAAATCCGAAACCGGATCCATATCCGAAACCGTATCCGCCTGGTTTTAAAAATAGATTACCATATCCGCATCTGTTCGGATACGGATATGGATCGGTTCGGATAAATCCGAACCGTTTGGCACCCCTACTAATGATTAATCCTAAATAGCGAAAATGATTAGTTTTAGGTATTTTTTGGCCATCAATATGGACCATAGGCTCTCTTTCGTTCCTAATTTTACTAAAAATGCACTCCATATATTCTATTTATGTTCTACTAATTCTAAAACATTTAGATTCAAGCACTTGTCTCCATCTTTCTACTTTAGAAATAACACGTCTTTTAGTTTCATCAACTAATACTATATCATCGGCAAAATGGGATTTCATCCTGAATGTGCTTAGTAAGTTGGTCCATAACCAATGCAAAAAGATAATGAATTAAAGCTGACGCTTGATGTAAACTTATGTTAATAGAAAATGGTTTAGTCTCTCATTCATTAGTCTTACTCTACTTCTTACTCTATCATACATATCTTTAATCACATCAATGTATATACTAGATACATGTTTTTTCTAACACCTACCACATTACCTCTCTAGGCACTCTATCATAAGCTTTTTCTAGATCGATAAAAACTATATGTAGATCCTTTCTCTTCTCTCTATATCTCTTCATCAACCGTCTTAAAATATGTATAGGTTCCATAGTTGACCTCACAGGCATAAAACTAAATTGATTTTCAGATATACTTGTCTCTTTTCTTAGCATTTGCTCAATTACCCTCTCCCAAAGTTTCACAGTATGACTCATGAGTTTTATACCTCGATAATTTGAACAACTTTATATATCTCCTTTATTCTTATATATCAGTATCAAAGTACTAATCCTCCACTCATTTGGTATTCTTTTTGTCTCAATAATCTTATTAAATAGTTTAGTTAACATGGCAGAATATACTGAGGTATAAAAATTCATCGGATGCCCAAGATAGCAATAATTCACCTCAATATGTAGAAAAGGAGAAAAGAACTAAACATATATAGAACTTTAAGTTAGAAAAAGTGTAAGCACGAATTTTCATATGCCACTCACAGTTTCTGTGGGGCATAAAGCATATCCAACAGCCACCCCATCATGAGTCAAAATCTCAGATCCTTTCATCTGTCAAAAAAAGTAAAAATAAAAATAAACATAAACAACTTCCATTTGTAGTTACATAGATCGAAATTTAAAAATAATGCTCTTAAGTATGAGGCTTAACAATTTTTGAGAACTAAAAGATTAACATCTAAAAAACCATGAATGCAAAAAAAATAAAAAAAACAAAGAAAACCAAATATTAAAACGTGCGGTGGATATTGTATATAATATAAGGCATCTATATAAATTTCAATCTCAACTACTAAAGACAAATGCTGAAATGCACACTCGATGTACCCCTTCTAAACGACAATGTATAAAATAGACCTTAATTTGTCATAGAAAATACTTCTTTCACCATTTTAGCTAAGTATGAAGCCTTTATATCTCTTATTCGAATTAAAACATCAATAATTTTATTGCCTTTATGATCACAGAATTTCACCATTTAGAATCCTAAATCTAGCTATTATTATGGAAAGTTAGCTCATCCATAGACTGAAAAATCATCTCAACCAGAATCAAATTTCTTTAATGTAAGAGCACCAGAGGCCAGTCTTCTGCCAACTACAAATCCAATCAGCAGTTTCAAGCCTCAGTTTCTGGTACATCAACAGGAATACCATAGGGCGCACAAGTTTCGATCAAAATAAAAAGTCTATAAAATCCTGTAGAGGATAATTGTGTTCCAATTGTATTTGGAATATCCATTGAATTTGCTTCAGCACATGGAAGTGGCAAGATCAAGAACCGACTATTAGCTAATGAATAGTTTATTACCGAAAAAAAACTAAGGTAGAAATGTGATCAGTTACATCTTACCGCTGCTCCTGTGTGACTTGTTAGGACGAAGTCTCTCAAATTAGCTGCTAGTCCGATCTGAACATGGCACATAACATTTCAAGCAAAACATTCAAAAAAGAAAAAAAAAAGAAAAAATACATAAACTTCTTTGCACATTAAGATACATGTTGTTGCACTAAGCATATAATAGAATGCACATCAACAATCATCACGTCTGTACTATACAATAATACAAACTTGTCATTTCTTCCTGTCAAGCCCAACCAAGGCATCGATGCACCGAACAAATTACAATATTAAGAGATAATTGCTGAGTAGCCTTCCATGTTATGTGACTATTACACAAGCTACCAATGCTGCAGACTTTTTTCTTTTAGTCAGTGATTTAATTTTCCTTTTAGCAAGTAAGTCAATTAATTAAGTATTTGGGAAGCAAGTTAAAAGGAGTAAAGCAAAATAAGTCATTACACTTAGACTTCTGCCTTTCTTAAGAGATGGAAGGGAGCAAACTGGTACTCAATGATGTGACATCTTTTCAAGACCAGGCACGCTAATGGTGAGCAAGGTGCAGTATATAATACATGTTGCTGAGGAGGTAAAATATACTCCATGTCATGTACGTATGGATATGATAATGCATACAGTGATCAATAAATTTCAGAGAAAATATTAGTGTATATTTCAGAAAAACAACTTTAAATTGTTTCAATACATTAAATGACTCTTAAATATTGCAGAACCTACAAGTTTTAGCTTTAGGCAGCTAGTACCTTTATTATCACAATCATCAATTGTTGGAACATTCTAACATAGTAGATGGTAGTTAAGTGAATAGAGAATGTGTACAATAGAACCATAAAGGTTATAAAACATATAAAAGATGGGTAGGTAAAGATCAGACATGGTAAAAGGAAGCAACCTGTATGTGGTCCACTGACGTTGATAGCATGTTGTCTGTGACCCTCTTACTACCATGGTCATAGCCATTTGGCTACAAAAAAATAAAACACATGAAGATAGTTACAATACTTACACTAATTAATAAACTAAGAAGTTATAGGTTAACTGTATATATTTTAATTACATTATAGTAGCAGTAAAATATAAAAGTTTCATCTTAATTATATGCGTAATGGATGTTAGACGGAATCAACACTGTAATACCCACATCCCCTCTGCTAATAAGCGATAATAAATAGAGCAGAGATTCCATGGTCTAGATACTGATGATCAGTTTTGCCATGACGAATGACGAGCATTAACTGATATTTTTAAATAGTTAACTGAAAAGCTAGGTTTGTGATGCAACAATATTCCAATTCAAAAAAATATCATTTCAAGCTGCTTTTAGTGCAATTGACAAACACAGTACGACAATTCTAATGATGAACTAGCGGTATGCTTCTTGCTAAAAAGGATAGAAGAGAAATGATGAGTTTATATGTAAAAGAAATCATTGTATTACCTGCAATGATAGACCTGTAACAAATCCTTGTTGAAGCGGATGACCAAATGGTGATCCACCAAGAACAGCATCTCTTATTCGGTCGTTGAAACTGCACATAAGAAATATATTAAAAAGAACGAGCTGGCACTTACGTGTATGAGTCATTTAATTAGTGTATCTTTTCTAGGTCCATCGACAGCAAGTTGACTCATAAATAAATGCATAGGTCCCAAACAAGGAAATAACACCAACTACGTTCTGAAAAGATTCAGGAAACCAAATGGACCAAATTGGATCCCATTAAGTTAGTTAAACATTAGGGTTTAATTTATAAAATCACACTAAACTAAACCGCACCAAGAAAGCACCTCATGTAGGTTAAGCTAGACTTGCAAGTAAAATAGTTGGATCTCAATTTGAATATAGAGCAGAAGTAACTCAAGTTAAGATGGGTCCTTGAATTCAGGTTATACCAGACCATATAGACTGTGCCCCCATCAACACTGATTACTTAGCTCAACATTTTCTTTATCCCAGTATTTGGGGTTAAATAACCTAAAATTCTAAGAAGCCTATTGGAGAAATAAATTCGGTTGGGTGGCTGATCCACACAGTGGTAACCAGAATGGAAAATGTGCAAAATTCGAAGACAACAGTACAGGACAGCCAAGCATCTCCATCTACAATCTATTCTTTTTTGTATTCTTGCTTTAGAGGAGTCCTAGGGGAGTTTTATCTGAAGCTACCTCTTAGCTTAATATGAACAATAGACCAATTTTTATCCTATGAACTAATACAACAATCCTACGAATAAAAAACAAAGCAGTGTGCTTTGTCACACAGAGTTATTCAGTTTCCTTTGGTTATTTTGTGATTGTTTTTATATTCGGAATTTGTTGGTACAAGGCATAAGAATTGTTGTTTCCCAGATACAGTTGTTTTTCTTTATAACATCTCACAAGGCAAGTTCTTAAAGAATAAAAATAACACAATAAGAAAATAGAACTATAGCACATTATAAAAAATTACCTCCCAATGCCAGTACCACCAATATTGAATTGTGATGCATTTATCCCACGCCCATTATTTGCAACTTCACCAAAGTCCCATCCTTCACCATATCTAGGAGAACAAAATGATCATGAAGCTGTGAGTTAAAAGTTCTGAAACAAAAGAGAATTGACAAAAGGTTCGTATCAAAAAATGCAAACTATGTCAAATAAACTGATATTTGTGTCCCCTGATTAAACCAATTCTCCAGCCTTACATGTAGATCTTTGAACCATCTACTCCATTTTCATCCTTGGAGAGACTTTGTAGAGCAGATTTTGCCTTCACCTGAATCCAATGGGGAAAAAGGGAGAAAATAAAAAAGTTCTCTGATGAGCAAAACTAAAAAACAAGAACTTGTCAGAATAAAGTAACATGATATAGTACAGCAATGACTAATATTTACGAAGTTATTAGATCATCAGGCGAACATGTACATTTAAATCCATTCAGATGCACATACAACAGAAATTACCTCAAGATGAACAGAAATTACTGGGAAACCTGGTCTGATCTAGATCCAGATACAGCTGTGTTTACCGAATTCAGCTTCTGATTACAGTCCAAATAAGAAGAACCCTAAAACCTTGACAATATCTTTTATCTATCCCTAAATCATAAGCTCACATAAATTATTCATAATCTTAGAATATTGATCCTTAAGAACTATGGGGTTCAATTTTTTCCACTAAAACATATTTTTTAAATAATCACTTATAGTTGTCCTGGCCCAATGATGCTTAAGCTAGACAAATCAAATGGAGATAACCCAACTATTTAAGCGGGTCAGGCATGAGTTCAGGTCGATGGTCAAGTATGGGGATTGACATATGCAGGCTGATATGGAGTTGACCCAGTCCATACACGCTCTAGTCTGACATCATTAGACACAGATGACATTAACAAACAAATTGACAAGTTTAGGTCAACAAAAGATTTGAAGAAAACACCAACCAAGAGACGAAAGAAAATGAAAATGCAAAAGAACTTTTGGGTAATTTATTGTTGGTATTTCTACGGTGTCCATCCGAAATAAATTGTTTGAAGCATTAAGTTGAACCAAATGTGATCACAACAATGTTCAAAAAGCTGAATCCATATCTTGTTACTAATTACTAAAGTAAAAAATATTATATCTAATAAATTGTCTGTTACTATTCAGAGAATATCATCAGCATAAGTCAAATAGAAGCCAAATTGTGTACCATGGTGCTCTTCATGATGTGTCCCATAAGATCGAAGCGGAACCCATCAACCTGTCAAGAAAGATATAACTCAGGTAATTAATATCTTCAAACTTCACCTAATGTTCTATAGTTATAAAAACATGAAATGAAGATATGTAACTTATCAAAAATGAAGAAATGCACGGCCAATGTGATCTATCATAATGTGAACTAGGATGAAACATGAAATAATAAGCTTATCAAAATAAAAAGGTGCATTTAAGTAAACAATAAGAAAAATAATTTTAATGGGGATCACCAAACAACTTCTGCAAGGAGCATTACACAGATTTAGTGCCAGTGCATGGGTTTATTGGAGATATACATGGACCAGATCACATTGCAGGTCAAATACGTAACTAGTTACTTGGCACAAAATGGCAGCAACATTACAAAGTATAATAGTGTAAACATTTTTAACTAAGCAGAAACCAGTTATTGAATTAGATTACAGACTCTATTAGCATTTCCTACTCAAACGGAGCATGTAGTACACACTATACTAGTGGAATCAAAGCAATAATACTCGTAAAAAATCACCTTGTAAGCAACTGCCCAGCATAAGAGATCATCAATGATTAAGCGTTCTACCATAAAATGCTCGCTGGCAGTGTTATTTATACACGCGCTGTTCTCAATATAACCATCAACATTTCTTCTCAGGTAGTATCCAGGAACAACCTACAATTTAACAGGCAAAGTTAAAAATAAAAAATTTCAAGAGGTATGATAAGCTGAAAAGGTCCAGCTAATCCTGATTGTTCATGCGAATAGAAAAGATATTCCAGGAAATATGATAGTTTAAAAAGGAAAAGAAAATGAGGCTGACTGTTAATTTCCTGGAAGTTATCGTCTTTCATCAGCTGCGCCTGTTAATCTCATCAACCTCCTGTTCTAATTCAGTTTGTCAATTCTATATATAGTTCTGTGATAAAATTCTGCATGCAAAAATAAATATGACAAACATGTAGCTCTGCTAGCCCTGATTAAAGCTCCAAAACATGAACTGCAAATTTGGTAGGAAATAGGAGAAAAAAAAAGAGGAAAGCACATTGCTGTTGCTAATAGGATGTGTGGAGAAAAAACTAGATAATGAAAATAAGTAAAAGGAGACAAAAATAAGACTAGGAGCATATGATAACAGGAGGCGGAAGATGAAGAGGAGAAAAAAGAAGAAGAGGAAGAAGAAACCAATAGCATAGCTGCATAGCACAAAGACATCTCTCACAAATATATCCTATTTCTATCATGCATATAACCAAACTTACAAATTGGCATGCCATAATGGTTTTCTTCATAAGGACTAAGATACATATCTATGGCTTAGAAATTGAAGAAAACGAGTTACTAAGTTTCAGTGCTTGTGCCTTTGTCCAGTCTTGACTGCTAAATGTATAATAAGAACATAGATAATGATTGGTTACTGATACTACAGCTATGACTTTAACAGAAAAGATAACCAAAACTTATTTATAAAAGAAAGGGCTAAATATCAGAAACCCCCCCTAACTTTGGACAATTATCAGAAAACCCCCCCTTAACTTTCAAAATATTAGAAAACCCACCTTTAAGTACAGGGATTATCAGAACCCCCCTAACTTTGGACAATTATCAGAAAACCTCCCTTAACTTTCAAAATATTAGAAAACCCACCTTTAAGTACAGGGATTATCAGAACCCCCCTAACTTTGGACAATTATCAGAAAACCCCCCCTTAACTTTGAAAATATTAGAAAACCCACCTTTAAGTACAGGGATTATCAGAACCCCTAACTTTGGACAATTATCAGAAAACCCCCTTAACTTTCAAAATATTAAAATCCACCTTTAAGTACAGGGATTATCAGATCCCCCCTCCCCCCTCTAACTTTTAGATTTTATTAGAAAACCTCCAAATTTAGGGGGGGTCTAATAAAATCTCAAAGTTAAAGGGGATTTTCTGATAAGTCTAGAGGACCACTTGCATACAAATGATTGTAAACCACATCCAACACAACACGCAGGCCGATGCGGTTAAGTGCCTAAAAAAGAAACACATTTAGCTATTGCATGTCCAAGTGATAATAGAATCAACAAAGTTTCACCTGAATCATCTTCCGGAAATCTATAATTCGACTCTCTCCATTTGGGTTGCTAGCATAGCTTCCTTTTGGAACCCCAAAAAGCACAGGGTTGTACCTGTACCAGCATTCGTCGTATAAGCATATTCTTAGAAATACCAAAGCAATAATACCCAATCCCTAAAGTAAGCTAATGATTTTTTTCTCTACAAGCATCCTTGGTAATGCAACATATATTATCAACATCAAATAATATATCTTAACATAAGGCAATTAGTACCCCCAATTATAACCATCTTGATCTTGGATAGAAGTAACTTCGCCTTGTTGCTTATCCGAATCGGGAGGCTGTTTCGAGAGCTCATCATAATCTGCAAAGCCGAAGTTCTAGGCAGTAAAGTGAGTCAATTAGAGAGATAGGAATATCATACCATGGTGTCAGTAAACACATAATGTGCATAACTGAAACAACCAGAAATCTAGTACTAATAGAAACTATGTCCAGCAAAACTAACTAATATACATCAAAGGAGAATTTTCTATAACTCTATCGCACTGAAATAACAGATGCAAGCAAACTCTCTTAGACAATAAATATACATTAAAGTACTAACACCTTGAGAACATAACGTCTTGGTGCATTTGATATATCTTACCGAGTTGCTCCCATTTGATTCTATCATCATCAACACCACCAAATTGAAAACAGGGCAACAAATGCACATGAGTCAGACCTGCGTCTGACAACTTCTTTAGATGTGATACACCAGCTGAATCCTGCAATGGAGCACTCAAATTGGCATGGTTTTCAATGATTCAAAAATACACTCTAATTGACTTAACTGACAAGACAGTATGACACGAAAACAATTACCATTTGGAGGAGAAAAAACATAGATAAATACATGAAGAGAAGAAATTGAAACAAAGAGAGCCATCAGTCCCAAGATATTGTATTAGCTTATTTGGTTCTTTGTCAGCATGGATAAGAGAAAGTCTTTAACAGCCTGGCTGTCACTTGGTATGCCAATTCTTGGCGAAGTATCACCTGATCTAACCAAACATATTATAACTCAAAACTCATCAGCAATGTAGGGAAGAGAATTTCCATAGTAATTATTAGGTAGATGATTCAATTTATATGGTCCTAACTTGATGAAAACTAAAGCCACTAGAAAGTTGATATTCCCATGATTTCTCTCCTATATAAACATCTATAATCTCCCATCCTCAAATTTGGAGCATTTTCAATAAATCATTTCACTTTGAAATTACGTTTTATTTTTTGCACGGTATTCCATAAAAAAATAGGAAAAAATATCATATTCTCCTTTACTATGCAGCAGCCAATGCAATAAATCTAATTAAGTAAATTCTACTTTTTGTGAAGAAGAGAACACCCGCTATAAAAATTTCCAGAATAAGTAAGAGGTAGTAGCAAACATCACAAGCACAAACACTACCTGAGAGGTAAAAGCCAGAAAACCTCCACGAAAATTTGGATCCACGGTTTCGTCACTTGCACTGCATGTAGACAAAAATATTATTGCACGCATTTCCTCTCACAAGAATGCAAAATTTGGGAGAATCTTTCTATGAATTTTTGATGTGATGATGATAAGGTATCATAACAGGCATAATAAAAAGTACACTCCAGAACTTACAAGAAGAGAAATTTTTTAAACAATACAAAACTAATATCATTATGAATGGCGTTGGTTATCTTCTCAGAAAGCAAGAAATGTTTCATACTCCTAAGCTGGACAGTCTATGGTTCATACTCATAAGATGTATTCAATTTCTAAATTGGTGCTATCATATTCATCAAATGCTTTGAATCATGGCATAGATATGAGGTAGGATATGGAAGTTTGAATAGTAAGTAGTTGAGCTTAATTGAGTTCTATCAGGGAGATGGCACACTGCATTCACTAGAGTTATCTTGATAATTGATTAAATTCTTGCCTTACGGTTTCTATTTTAAGTCCCTATAAACAACAACTTTTTGAATCATAACTGGTTAATTCCAAAAAAAAGGGGTTAGTTTCTTTCTAATTATAGTTATTTTCTGCAGCAGGGATGGCAGTTTACTAGCGCATTTTCTGGCCGAATCTGAATTTTGATTTCTGAAAATGCTTTTTGTACTCTCAAAATTTTTTATTATTTTTATCTTAGATAAAAGTGAACAAAATTCAATATGTACGCATCAAAATATATTTACATATCACAAGCACTGTCGCTATCTATTTTGGAATAAATACTAACATCATATAGAAATGAATAAATGCTAACATCACGCTACGAGGAGACAAACAACTATAAAATCACCTGAAGTCCCGAACATGTAACTCATAGATACTGATGTCAGCAAAGGAATGAAACTCTGGCTTTCCATTTGCTAGATCATCCCATCCCGGTGGTTTAAACTTTCCACAATCAAGATTGACCAGCAAAGTGCGCATCCCATCTGATGATAGTCTATTCAAAAATTGCAGAATATAAAAAAAAAATATGCACATGTATGTCAATTAATAAAGTTTATATGCCACTGATAATAGTCAATTGAATGCTGATATGCGTACCCTCTAGCATAAGGATCATTCACTTTGCATGTCTCAATTCGTGAGGTGCTTGGGTGGTAGACTGAAACTTCATACACATAATAACAACCTTCCCAACTTCTTGGTCCAGCAGCACTCCAAACACCATTTACCTCCTCAAGTTGCATAGGATCCAGTTGATCTTCACCTAATGGGCCCTTATAGACATGAGCGCATACTACCTACCTTCAAATATGAGAAAAAGAAACATGCATTATCTTATACTTATTGTAATAGATAAAATGCAGATGGCATGACATAAATGTTTGTAATGTATAACAAGTTTAAAAAGGCACCATACTTGTGCCGTAGGAGCCCAAAGATTAAGTGTAATTGCTTCCTCACTGAATACCGCCCCAAGAGGGCCTTTATATGCAAACATGTCATCTAATACACCGGGTAATTGCAATCCAGTAGCATTCTTGCATTTTCCCCTAGCTGCATGTAAACACAAATATCAGTAGCATTTATATGAACTCTAGCAATAAAAAGTGTAGTTATTAGTTAGCATGTTTATTCAAACACATATCAAACAGATAATTTTCAAAGTGTGTGTGTATGTATGTATGTATGTATGCATATGTATGTGTGTGTGTGTATAATTTT